CCTGCAAACCATCATCCACCTCCAAACCATCATCCACCTCCAACCCATCATCCACCTGCAAACCCATCCCACCCCACAATCCACCTGCAAACCCATCCCAACTCATCATCCAACCTCCAACCCACCATCCATCTGCAAACCCATCCCAACCCCCGATCCATCTGCAATCCCCCCCCACTCCAAACCCGTGTGCAGCTGATGCCATCCCACCACCAGCACTCCCCCCACCTGCAGCGCCCTGGCCAGCACATCCTCCGGCGTGCCAAAGAAGGCATCATCGACATCCAGGGTGAGCAGCTCGCGGTGGGTGCTGAAGAAGAGCAGGAAGAGGCAATCCTGGTCTCCCACGTTCTTCACCCAGTGCACGGTGCCGCGAGGGAAGAAAACCACCTGCCCCGCCGACACGTTGTAAGTGGTCAGCTCGCCCGAGTCCGGCCCCACGATGCCGATCCACGCCGAGCCCTGAGGGGAGAGGATTGGCTTGGCTTACAATTCATCTACCAAAAAAAGGGGGAATTTACAATCGAAACGGCATCCTTTGGGATTTGCTGATCAACTAGTTGAAAATTTCATCATTTTTAAACATTTTAAGCTTTAAATTTAGTAATTTTTTCAAATTTTAAATTTGAAAGCGATTTTTCAAATTTTAAATTTGAAAATTTTAAATTTTCAAGCTATTTTTGAAATTTTAAATTTGAAATTTTCAAAATTTTAAATTTTCAAGCAGTTTTTGAAATTTTAAATTTCAAATTTTCGAAATTTTAAATTTTAAAGCAGTTTTTCAAATTTTAAATTTAAAGCAATTTTTGAAATTTTAAATTTTAACTAAATTTTTGAAATTTTAAATTTTAAAGCTATTTTTGAAATTTTAAATTTTAACTAAATTTTTGAAATTTTAAATTTTAAAGCTATTTTTCAAATTTTAAATTTGAAATTTTCAAAATTTTAAATTTTAAAGCTATTTTTCAAATTTTAAATTTGAAATTTTCGAAATTTTAAATTTTAAAGCTATTTTTGAAATTTTAAATTTGAAATTTTTGAAATTTTACATTTTAAACCGATTTTTTAAATTTTAAATTTAAAGCAATTTTTGAAATTTTAAATTTAAGGCAATTTTTGAAATTTTAAATTTTAAACCGATTTTTGAAATTTTAAAATTTAAAGCTATTTTTGAAATTTTAAATTTTAACTAAATTTTTGAAATTTTAATTTTAAGGCAATTTTTCAAATTTTAAATTTTAAAGCGATTTTTGAAATTTTAAATTTTAAACCGATTTTTGAAATTTTAAATTTAAAGCAATTTTTGAAATTTTAAATTTTAAACCGATTTTTGAAATTTTAAATTTAAAGCAATTTTTGAAATTTTAAATTTTAAACCGATTTTTGAAATTTTAAATTTAAGGCAATTTTTGAAATTTTAAATTTTAACTTAATTTTTGAAATTTTAAATTTTAACTTAATTTTTGAAATTTTAAATTTTAAAGCGATTTTTCAAATTTTCAATTTAAGGCAATTTTTGAAATTTTAAACTTTAAACTGATTTTTAAATCAATTTTTATAATTACTGATGGTTATTAGGATATTATTCCTATTTTACACATAATAAACTACCATTTTAGCAATAATATTAATATTATATTAAAAAGTTTATTAAATAAATCAAATAAATGAAATAAAATTTAAAACTAATATTAAATTGGGGACTAATATTACAATAATTGTAGATTAGCCTAGCAATAAATTGTTAGTTATAAATACTTATATTTATAATTACATGAATAAATATAGAATATTATGGATGTAATATAATTAGTTAATATAAGATAGGAAACACATTTTTATATTAAATATATATATATTTATTTATATTTACTTAATATAAGATAAGAAACACATATTTATATTAAAAAATATATATATTAATATATAATATTAAAAATATTATATAATAATTATAAAATATAATGATTAAAGAAAAATAGCAATTTATTATAATGTAATATAGTAATAAATACATATTTACGATAAATACATTTATCTATATAAAAAAATTCCATAAATCATAATACGGCAATAAATGCCGAAATTAAATTTATAGTAATTTATAATAATTTAGTAATAATTTATAGTAAATTGATAATTTAATATTTAATATAATTCTTATAATAATAAGTATGAAAATAATCGGTAAACTACTTGGAAAATGACTAATTCTTTATAATACTAACCACGAATAGAATAATAACCCAAAATGATTCCTACAAACAGTAAGTTAATAACAATTTTCAACTGGTCAACGCGACCCGAACTGTGCTGATTGCAACCCCCTGGGGTACCTGGAGGAGGTAGCCGTGCTCGTTGGCGTTGAAGTGCCAGTGGGGGGCGCGGAGGCCGCCGGGGCGGATGCGCAGGGTGCCGAAGGTGATCTGCGAGCGGCGCGCGTTGATGCTGTCGCCGAAGGCCCGCTCCTCCCGGCTCGAGTATTCCGACGGGTCCTGACGGAAACGGCCCCACTGGATCTCCCCCCCGGGGTACGTGTGGACCTGGGAGCGGGGCACAAACACCTCACTAATTATTACCAATCATTCATTAATTATTAACCATTTCTAAATTAATTATTAGCAATTATTAATCAATTATTAATCAATTATTAATCAATTATTAGTCGATTATTAATCAATTATTAATCATTTATTAATCAATTATTAAGCAAACATCACAAAATTATTAATTAATTATTAACAAACAAGCCATTATTAACCAATTATTAATTATTTCTTAATCGATTGTTAATCGATTATCAGTTATTAATAAATAGCACTTAATTATTAATTGGTATTAATGAAGCCGCGGTTATTCGTGGTGGTTTACTAAGGAGGGCAAGAGCGCGGGGGTAAATTCATCGACTCTCCCTCTGGATTATTATTCTTCGATAATTCCTGTTATTAGTGGCTAATAACGGTGAAGGACTGGCCTCCCTCTTTAATTGCCTAATCATGTAATCTAGAGAGAAAGTGCTAATTAATTAATTCATGATTAGGCGGCTAGATGAGAAAAATAATAATAAATAATCCGCCAATTAGTCGTCATTATTAGTTACTAATAATAACGCAGGAATTTCTAATAATAATTAGCATTTGTTAATGAATTATTCTCTGGCTCACCTTGGACTTGCTGAGGTGATAGAGGAACTGGAACTTCACATCCACCTGGTCCTGGTCGTTGGAATCGTCACCCATCGACGGCGGCGGCGCCGGCAGCGTCACCGTGGGGGAGTCGGTGACGATGACGAGGGACAGCGACAGCACCCCCAGCGCTGTGGTCAGCACCCCGGCCAGCAGGCACACCAGGAACACCCGCAGCAGCCACGAGCCGCCACGGCCATCTGCGGCACCCTGGAAACATCCACCAATCCATCAGCAATTCCCTACAAACATCACCCAATCCATCTGCAATCCATCTGCAGCACCCTGGAAACATCCACCAATCCATCAGCAACTCCCTACAAACATCACCCAATCCATCCGCAATCCATCTGCAGCACCCTGGAAACATCCACCAATCCATCAGCAATTCCCTACAAACATCACCCAATCCATCCGCAATCCATCTGCAGCACCCTGGAAACATCCACCAATCCATCAGCAATTCCCTACAAACATCACCCAATCCATCTGCAATTCCCTACAAACATCCACCAATCCATCAGCAATTCCCTACAAACATCACCCAATCCATCAGCAATTCTCTACAAACATCACCCAATCCATCTGCAATTCCCTACAAACACCACCCAATCCATCCGCAATCCATCTGCAACTCCCTACAAACATCACCCAATCCATCCACAATCCATCTACAGCTCCCTGAAAACATCACCCAATCCATCTGCAATTCCCCGAAAACATCACCCAATCCATCAGCAACTCCCTACGAACATCACCCAATCCATCTTCAATCCCTACAAACACAAATCCATCCACAGGCTCCCTACAAACATCACCCAATCCATCAGCAACTCCCTGGAAACATCCACCAATCCATCAGCAATTCCCTACAAACACCACTCAATCCATCTGCAACTCCCTGAAAACACCAACCAATCCGTCCACAATCCATCAGCAATTCCCTACAAACATCACCCAATCCATCAGCAATCCATCAGCAATTCCCTGAAAACATCACCCAATCCACCAGCAACTGCCTGAGAACACTGACCAATCCATCTGCAATTCCCTACAAACATCACCCAATCCATCCACAATCCATCAGCAATTCCCTACAAACATCACCCAATCCATCTGCAATTCCCTGAGAACATCACCCAATCCATCCACAATCCATCAGCAATTCCCTGAAAACATCACCCAATCCATCTTCAATCCCTACAAACACAAATCCATCCACAGCTCCCTGAAAACATCACCCAATCCATCAGCAATTCCCTACAAACATCACCCAATCCATCAGCAACTCCCTACAAACACCACCCAATCCATCCACAATCCATCAGCAACTCCCTACAAACATCACCCAATCCATCTGCAACTCCCTGAAAACATCACCCAATCCATTTGCAATTCCCTGAGAACATCACCCAATCCATCAGCAATCCATCTGCAATTCCCTATAAACACCACCCAATCCATCAGCAACTCCCTAAGAAACACAACCCAACCACCCTCAATCCATCTGCAATTCCCTACAAACATCACCCAATCCATCCACAATCCATCAGCAACTCCCTGAAAACACCAACCAATCCATCAGCAACTCCCTGAAAACATCACCCAATCCATCTGCAATTCCCTACAAACATCACCCAATCCATCCACAATCCATCAGCAATTCCCTACAAACATCACCCAATCCATCCACAATCCATCAGCAACTCCCTGAGAACATCACCCAATCCATCCACAATCCATCAGCAACTCCCTGAGAACATCACCCAATCCATCCACAATCCATCAGCAATTCCCTACAAACATCACCCAATCCATCTGCAATTCCCTGAGAACATCACCCAATCCATCAGCAATTCCCTACAAACATCACCCAATCCATCCACAATCCATCAGCAACTCCCTGAAAACATCACCCAATCCATCTGCAACTCCCTGAGAACATCCCCCAATCCATCAGCAATTCCCCCCAACCCCCCTGGATCCGGAATCATCTCCCGGAGCTGTCGATACCTCGTTGCTGGGTCGATGTTTCCCGCTGGCAAAAGCGGGATAACCGGGAACGTGCTGATGATCTCCCTGCAGCTCGAAGGCCTGGTTGTCCATGGAGCCGGAAATCTGGGAATTCAAGGAATTTTTTGGGGGGTTATTTCTAGGAATTTCGGAAGGTTATTTCTGGTATTTTGAAGATTATTTTTGGGGTAATTTCCGGGGTTTTTGGGCCGGAGGAAATTGCGCCATCCCGTTTTTTTCCCGGCCGTTGACCCTCCGGAATTTCCCTCCCCCCTCCTTCCCCTTCCCCCAGGGATTTCACAATCCCATCATTTACAAATTACCCTCATCAGGCTTTATCAGCCCAGTTTTTCCTGCTTTTTTTTAACTTTTTCCCTATTTTTTTCCCCTTTTTTCCTGTTTTTTTTATTCCCTTTTTTTCTGCTTTTTTTCCCCCTTTTTTCCTTATTTTTGTTCCTTTATCCCTGTTTTTTTCTTTCCTATTTTCCTGCCTTTTTTCCCCCTTTTTTTCCTGAATTTTTGTTGTTTTTCCCTGTTTTTTTCCCCCTTTTTCCTGATTTTTTTGGTGCCTTTTTCCCTCTTTTTTTTTTGCCTTTTTCCTGCTTTTTTTAAGTTTTTTTCCCCTTTTTCTAAACCCCCAAAAATCAGAATAAAACCCCCAAAATCAGAATAAAATCCCAAAAAATCAGAATAAACCCCCCAAAAATCAGAATAAAACCCAAAAATCAGAATAAAACCCAAAAAATCAGAATAAAATCCCCAAAAATCAAAATAAAACCCTCAAAAATCAGAATAAAACCCCCAAAAAATCAAAATAAAACCCCAAAAAATCAGAATAAAACCCCCAAAAATCAGAATAAAACCCAAAAATCAGAATAAAATCCCCAAAAATCAGAATAAAATCCGCAAAAATCAAAATAAAACCCCCAAAAATCAGAATAAAACCCCAAAAAATCAGAATAAAACCCCCAAAAATCAGAATAAAATGCCCCAAAATCCCCAATTTTCCAGATTCCCGGGAATTTCTGTCTCACCTGGAGCTTCCCGAGCAGCTGCTGGTGCCGTCGATGACTCGGTCGATGCCTCCAGGTGGCTCTTCCTGCTTTTTATCCCCTGCGGGGATGGAGGAAGTTCCTCCTTTTTATGCAAATCAGCTCCAGGAAATCATCAGCAAAAACAACCCCTCCCGGCCACTCCTCGGGATTGGGGGGAAATGGAGATTTTTCCTGGTTTTTTTTCCTGGTTTTGGGGGGGAAAATTGGATTTTTTAAGGTTTTTTTGGTTTGGTTTTTGT